GTCCCGACCTGAAACGTCAACTTTCCTGCTCCTCTGATGCTGCCTGGCCTGCTGTGTTCTTCCAGCTTCACAATGTGTCATTTTTGACTCCAGCATCTGCACATTTGCAGTTCTTACTATCTCTGATAGAGGTAGTGGAGATGTTTCAGAGAGATTTCCAAGGGTGAGACAGGAGATGTATGGGGATTAATACCAGGAAAAGATTGATATACTGTTTCATTTCTCTTGGTTGGCTGAGAGTTCAATAAAATTTATAATTTAGAGTTATAATTGAGAGTTATAAAGATTTCACCCTCTTTATAATTTAAAATCCTAAAAAGTGGATACAGGAAATGTTTACTCTCGTTTGAAGGACATAACTAGAGGCTACCAATTTAAATAGTCACCAAGAAATATGTACTGTTCTACGTTCTGCATTTAAACAGTACAGCACTTCAGAGCTGCTGCCATGGGGTCCATACACAACACCAATTACCATTTTAGTTCCTTTACTGTTCCTCAGTTCTAACCATACAGTCTCCACTGAATGCTTTCACTTCATTGTATTAACCCCTACCATTGAAATAATGTTGTTGCTAATCAGTTAGGCAACTCCAACTCCTCAATTTTCCCTATCCGTCCTCTAAATTTTATAACTGACCATCCTGCAGCCATGTCTTAAGGTGGCATGGTGGCTGAGTAGTTAGCACTGCTGCCTTACAGCGCCAGGGATCTAGATTTGATTTTACCTTGGGTGACCATCATGTGGAGTTTGCATATTCTCCCCATGTCTGCATTGGTTTCTGCCGGGTACTCCGGCTTCCTCCCACAGTCCAAAGATTTGCAAATTAGTTGGATTGGACATGCTAATTTACCGATAGTGTTCAGAGGTGTGTAGATTAGGTGCGTTATCGATAACTGGTCACTAGTTCAGAGACTAATCAGCTACATGTTGCCAGCCAAAGCTCCATTTGTATAAACCCTTTGCTTATCTGCAAATTAAACTTTCATGACTGCTTGATCAAGTAGCTGTGTACACAGTGTCTACAATGAGTGTCAGGTTACTTGCTTTTAAAAAAATGCAGCAAACCTTCAGCAATCTTTGGTTTTTAAAATAGTTCTTTCTTAAGTAAGAGGGTATGGTCTTTACATTAAATGTAAGGGATCACCCATTTAAGATAGATAAAGAGAAACATTTTCTCAATGGTAAGCCTTTGAAACTTTCTTCCTGAGAAGGTATTGGAGGCAGAAACTTTGAAATTTTAAGAAAAAGATAGATTTTTGATAAGCAAGGAAGTGCAAGTTATTTGGGTTAAATAGAAATGTAGAGTAATTAGGTCAGACATGATCTTATTGAATAACAGAGCAGGCTTGAGGGCTGAATGGCCCACCTCTGTTCATGTGTTTGTCTGTGAATCTAGGAACTTACAATCTAACAGCATAATGAGTGTACTTAAAACATCACCAATGATAAGGGAACCCAACACATCATTTAAGAGGCAAAGCTGAAGTATTTATATCCAAATTCAGCCAGAATTGCCCAGATATATCCTATGCACAAAAAGATGGATACATCCAACCCAGCTAATTACTGTCCTATCAGTCTACTCTCGTTCATCAGCAAAGTAATAGAAATGTTGTCAACAGTGCTATTGACAGGCACTTACAAAGGAATAGCCTTCTCACTGACATACAGGTTGGATTCTGCCAGGGTCACTCAATTCCTGATCTTCTTGCAGATTTAGTCCAAGCATGAGCTCCTGAAATGTGGTGAGAGCGACTACGCTTAATATCAAGGATTTGACCAAGTAAGGCATCAAGGAGCTCCAGTATAACTGGAGTCAATGGGAATCATGGGAAAACTATTTAGAGTCATACCTGGCACATAGGATGATGACTGTGGCCGTTGGAGGTCAGTCATGTCATCCTATCACTACAGGAGTTTCTCAGGGTAGAGTCTTAGTCCAACGTCTTTAGCTCCTTTATCAATGACCTTCCTCAATCGTGAGGTCAGGAGTTGAGATGTTCGCTGATGATTGCATAATATTCAGCACCGTTCACGACTCCTTAGATACTGAAGCAATCGATGTCCAATTGCAGCAAGGCCGGACTATATCCAGACTTAGGCTGGTAAGTGGCAAGTAACATTCACACCGCACAAATGGCAGGCAATGGCCAACTCCAACAAGAGAGCATTTAACCATTGCCTCTTGACTTTCAATTGCATTTACCATCAATGAGATTCAGACTGTCAACATCCTGGGCATTATCATTACCCAGACTAAATTGGACCAACCAAATAAATAATGTGGCTACAAGATCAGGTCAGAGGATAGGAATTCTGCAATAAGTAACTCATCTCCTGTCTCCCCAGTGCCTATCCACCATCTACAAGGCATAAGTCAGGAGTATTATGGAATACTTTCCACTCTCCACTCTCCACTTGCTTGGATGGGTACAGCTCCCATAACACTGAAGAAGCTTGATGCCATCCAGGACAAAGCAGCTCAATTGATTGGCACCCCACCCATAATCTTACACATTCATTCCCTTCAGCACTGATGCACAATGACAGCTGGGTGTACCTTATACAGGAAGTATTGCAGCAATTCAAAAAGATCCTTAGACATTCTGCTTTGAAACTATGGTTCTACCGTTTTGCTACCATGTTTTCCAATGCTTTGGACTGGAGTGGTTCAGGAAGGCATCATCAACAGTTTCTCAAGGGCAACTAATATGGGCAATAAATGCTGGCCTAGCCAAAAATTCAAAAATTCATTCACAGATATATCTGGAGCAATATCCCAATTAACAGAGGCAGGCCTTCTAACTTGTTCGCCTCAGCGACTGCACTCCCACACCATCCACCACCCCTTATTATCTATCTCCTTCTCCTCAACATTCACCACCTTCTTGCAATTCTTTTGCAATTTGCTGTCCCTTTAAATCACACCCACCATTTTGACTTTCTGTCAGCCCTCGCCATTTCACCTTCTCATCAACATACACCATCCTCCACTTTTCCTTTAACACTTGTCTTGTTTCTGTCTTGTTTACTTGGCTCTCAGTAGAGAGGATCCTTTCACTCCCTTTCACATCTTAATTTACACATATTTTACATTTGTTTTCTCTTTCACCATTATTGACAACCCCTTTGCTTTTTCATTACATCTCTATATCATCTGTTCCCTTCCCCTCTCCTGCACCTCTGCCAAAAATATAAACAATAAATTCCAATTTCTTTCAGTTCTGAAGAAGAGTCATACTGGATTCAAAACCTCAACTCTGTTTCTGCCTCCACAGATGCTGCCAGATCCACATCCTTCTTATAGTTTGGTAACCACACACAATACTTCAGCTGAGGCCTAACTAACATCATATTTACTTCCTTCATTTTTGAATACCCATGTGTAATAATCATCTATGGTGTTTATAAATAAATGGTGAATGATTACTACTTGAGTATGATGCTCGGAGGGGATCATTGCAGTGGAACTAAACTTCAGTGAAAGTGACAACCATTTATTGATGAACATGAATGAAGATCAGTAAGGAAATGTGCTTGTACATTGTATGCTATTGTGACGCTCTTTTATTTCTTAATATTTTTAGGTGACATTAATGGGAAACCTGAAGATTGAAAATCACACAGAGTGTCACTGTAGCACTTGTTACTATCACAAGTCCTAAAATGGTAAACAAACCTGAAAACTTAAAAGTATATAAAAGTGTGTTTTCTCTTCATTGCTTCATATAAGTGGTTACATAATGTAACAATGTAACTCCATATATTTAAACTTGCATTGCTGTGTGATTGATCTGCTATGGTAAATAAATAAATTTACTTTCTCAGATTTGTGTAAATTCACAATATCCATCGCCAAGCAACAATGTTTCTGTGCTTCATTTAAACTCCTCATGCTTGAGAAACTTTAGCTTCATTTCAAGTTTGAATATGAAGTATATATTTTGCTCTTAAAGACAAAATCTGCCACAAATAGTAAAAGATTAATGAAGGACTGAGTGAGGCCCATTAGAAACAAACAGAATAAGCTGGTCACTAAAGCAAAGTGTGTGGAAGAGGTACTAAATTGGTATTTTGCTTCTGTCTTTACTAAATTAGCAAATGGTGACATTGGCCCAGTTGAAAATGTGGATGTTGAGCAACTGAACAGTATAGTGATAGATAAAGAAAAGATGCTAAAAAGGCTGGCAGCACTCCAGGTAGAGAAGTCGCCAGGCCCAGATGGGATGTATCCTAGATTGCTGAAAGAGATGAGAGAGCAAATTAGAGAGCTGATGACAAAACATTTCCAGGCTTCTCTGAACACAGGATTAGCGCCAGGGAACTGGAGGATTATAAATGTGACACTGTTGCTCAAGAAATGGGTAAAGAATAATCCAGAAACCTACAGACCTGTCAGTTTGATATCAATAGTGGGAAAATTTATGGACGCCATAATATGGGATAAGATATATGTGCATTGAGAAGAAAAAAAGCTAAGACTAGACAGTCAACATGGCTTTGCCAAGGGCAGGTCACGTCTGACAAATTTAACTGAGTTTTTTGATGATGTGACACAGACAATGGATGAGAGTAGTACTGTGGATGTTGTGTATTTGGACTTTCAGAAAGCATTTGATGTGGTGCCACATGGCAGGTTGCTTAGAAAATTAGAAACGTTTGCGATCAATGGGTCCTTGGCAGCATGGATAAGACATTGGCTAAAAGATATGAAACAGAGAGTAGATACCGATTGGTATTTCTCAGATTGGAGAGGAGTTGAAAGTGGTACTCCCCAGGATCAGTATTGGGACCCTTGCTTTTTCTGATTTACAAAAACAATTTGGAGATGGTTGTTGAGGGCAAAAACTCAATTTGTAGATGATACTAAGTTAGGGAGAATGGTGAACTGAGCAACTTCAGAGGCACATTGACAAATTTGCCAAAAGATCAGACACCTGGCAGTTGAATTTCAATGCAGAAAAATGTATTTTTGTAGGAAAAATATGGCGAGATGGTACAAACTCAATGGTACAACTTTGAGGGTAGTACAGGTGCAGAGGGATCTCAGGGATCAAGTGCATAATTCTCTGAAGGTGGCCAGGCAAGTTGAAACTGTTAAGAAGGCTTATAGGATCTTTGAGTTTATAAACAGAGACATAGACTATAAAAGCAAAGAAGTGATGCTACAATTCTACAATCATTGGTAGATCACATTTGGGGTATTGTGTTCAGTTCTGGGTATCTTATTTAAAGAAGAATGTTAAAGCTCTGGGGAGAGTGCAAAGGAGAATTACTAGACAGATACCAGGAATGAGGGGTTTTTGATTAAAGGAAAAATTAGAGAAATTGGTTTTACTCTCCTTGGAGCAGAGAAGATTAAGAACACAGAATATACAGCACAGGAACAGGCCTTTTGGCCCACTACATCTGTGACGATCATGATGCCATTCTAAACTAATTATATCTGCCTGAGCAAGGTCCATATCCCTGTATTCCCTACTGTTCATGTGTCTGTCTAAATGCCTCTTAAACTTTGTTAATGTATCTGCTTCTACTATGTCCCTTGGACAGAAGGGTCTTGAAATCTCCCACCTGAGGGAAAAGACCTTATCTATACCCCTCATGATGTTATAAAGCTCCATAAGGTCAAGTCTCAATCTCCTACACTGCAGTGGAATAATGTCCCAGCCTAGCCAGCCCCTCCTTATAACTCAAACTTTCTATTGGTAGCAACATCTCGGTAAATCTTTCCCGAACCCTTTCCAGCTTAATAACATCATTCCTAAAATAATGTAACTGGAAGAAGTACTCTTGAAAAGTTAATATGGAGCAGGGCCTTCTAGGTGGAGCCTTTTTTTAAAAAGAAAATGTCCAGTATTATTAAAAATCTTTATTTCCATTTCTAATCATGCAGCATAACAATCCTGAAAGTGTCTTTAGTGAAATTGTAGTGTTTGACCTTGTAATAAGGAAATGCAATTGCAAAATGTGGAATAATGTCTTGATGCCTTTTCGGACCTGGTTCCATAACATGGATTGGACTTCAAATTGCAAAAGACGGCCGGCAATTGCGCCTTGAATTCTGGTTAGTACCAGCTTTGGGATCCAGATCACTCAAATTCACAATAAACTGATGCCATCACATTTCAAAACACTGTTGTCATTGTTTGCAATCCTAAAATGCTTTTTCAAAGGATGATTAATGTTCTTTTCAACTGTCAGAAAGCTTTTGTTTGAAACCATTAGATGCTGGTTAACAAAGGATGTTTCTGGCTAATTTGCAGACATTGTACTTTTGATTTTTGACAATAAGGACCATTCATTAGTCCTACACCTCTTTGGGTAAGTACTGGAATTCCGTTTAATCACTGGCTATAATTAGTACAGTGACAATGTTAATTGCAAGTCAGAAAGTATATATCTGCTGAGTCAAAGTGGAAAAGTAACCCCTTAGCTAAAGAAAGATAGATCTCAGTCTTCAATCAATGGCAAGTTAATGAACCACTGAATGCATGCATTATTGACCATAATGTATGTCACTAATCTTCTGTTACAGACAATTTCCAAAAGGTCATTGTGGTCTAGAGCCATTCCAGGCAACTAATGTGTAAAACATTTACCTCATACATTTCCTTTAATTATTTTCCCCTCTCACCTTAGACCCATGCCTGCTAGTATCTGACATCTCCATCCTGGGAAAAAGACTCCGACTATCCACCCTATCCATGCCTGTCCTAATTTTATATATTTCTATCAGAACTGAGAAATTTTAAATTCTATGGGAAATTTGAAGAGTGAAAATCACATTGAGTGTCACTGGAGCACTTGTTACAATCACAAGTCCTCAAATGGCGAACAAACCTGAGAACCTTTGATCTGTAACATACAAGTGTAACTTCCACTCTTATTTACAGCATTCCTGCATTATTTTATATCCAGGTTCTCCATTCACTGAGCCAAATCGTCTATCCCCATTCCCAATCTGTTTTGGATTCTAACCATCTGTATTGTCTGGCCCATTTGCTTCCTCCACGCTTTTTCTTTTTCTTTTGTTGTTTTCCCTGGTTACCCTCTGTACGTGGACAGCCAATATCAGGTCATCTTTCAGTTCTCTTCTCAGATATCTCCTGTTCTTGCTGTCTCTGACCTTGGGAACTCAGAACATCATTAGCATCAAGCATCACATCCCAATTGCGGCTATCTTACATATGGATTGGCTAGCCCTATCTACTATCTCATAGGTGGCATGGTGGCTCAGTGGTTAGCACTGCTGCCACACAGCACCAGGAGCCTGGATTTGATTCTATCCTCGGGTGACTGTCTGTGTGGAGTTTACACATTCTCCCTGTGTCTGTGTGGGTTTCCTCTGGGTGCTCTGGTTTCCTCCCACAGTCCAAAGATGTGCAGGCTAGGTGGATTGGCCATGCTAAATTGCCCATGGTGTTTAGGGATGTGTAGATTAGGTGGGTTATAGGGGGATGGGTCTGGGTGAGGCATCTGAGGGTCGGTGTGGACTTGTTGGGCCGAAGGGCCTGTTTCCACTCTGTAGGGATTCTATGATCTATTAATGGACTGGCAAATTAGGTTCAACAATGAGATGGGCTGGTGTATTCTGATCATTACCCTTTGTCCAGGACCCAACTCTATCGGGCTGGCTTTTGTGTCGAAATAAGCTTTGCTTTGCTGTTTCATCTTCCCCTGTTGGTGAGCCGCTATGTAATTTGCCTCCTTTACTGTTTCCACCAATTGTTGTACCCATTTCTCCAATATAATATTGTCTATCTCAGGCTCAGACAATTCCAAACCTACCAACCCCTCCATTCCCTTCATGTCTCTTTTTGTCATGAGCTTATAATGGGTGTAGCCTGTGGATGAAGTAATGGTATTCCTAATTATCATCAACACTTAGGACAGAACAATTTTGCTGCACCATTCTGGCTATCATGTTTTTCAGTGTCCGATTCATCCTTTCCACAATTCCACCAGACTGTGGTCTATAAGATATGTGGAATCTCTGTCTGATCACAAAAAGAATCATCATGTTTTGCATTACTTGGGCTGTAAACTGTTTTCCCTGGGTCTGACCCTATGCTCTGAGGTATACCCCAATGAGTGAATACTTGTTCCAACAAGAAAAGTTTTGCAGTATTTCTGTCTGTGTTTGTTGTAGTCGGGAAAGGTGTCCACTATTACCAGAATGTACTTGTATCCTCCTGGAGTGGGGGATAGGGGTCCTACATAGTCTATTTGTCAATTAGTCCACGGCCCTTCTACTGGTTTAGTGTGTCAGAGGGCCCCTTTCTTAACATCTTTATTGGTGTTATGCTGTGCACAGATCAAACAATTCTTAACGTAGTGTTCCAAGTCACCTTTCATTCCAGGCCACCAGCACACATCCTTTATTTTGTCCAGGGTATTCTCTGCCCTTTTATGCCCCCATAAGTCATGGTACCAGTGAATTATTTGTTTTCGTCCCTCCCTCTGGCACCACAAATTTTCTTTAATACAAAACTACTCCATCCTGAACATAGATCCCCTTGTGTGTTTTATATGTCTGGCTCTGCTCCTTCTATTAATATTTTTCAATTTTCCATCTTTCGTTTGCTCCTGTGCTAGATCCATTACTTTGACTTGTTTCTCCTTCTGTCCCCTGATTTCTTCACTTGGTGGCCACCATTCCTGCCCTTTTACAGTGCCTTG